CATCTGCAGAAGTTTAGGATCAGCTGATTAGTTTTACTTGCCTTTTAGAATCAGAACCTGGAAGTGTTTCGTCACACAGTCACATGACTACAGGAGTCACGCTGTGTAAACAGAACAGGAAATTAAAGGAACATTTTTACTAAATGGTTTCTGTGATCACCACGTGTGCCCACAGTCAAACATCACAAATGTTTTACATATGAAGATGACATGGGGCAGTTTATACCAAACACTGGGATAGTTTGGTAAGATGCTTGCAAACAGGACCTCACCGTTCACTTTTATTTTTCTCACAATTGTTGCTGATTTAATGCAACTTTTTAAAGCCAAATACAAACTGGTCAGTGTGGCTGTAAAATCAGCACAGAGCTCGAGGACTGAGAGGAAACCTCACTATGCTACAAGGTGGAGTGTAAGAACTAAGAAATGCCTGATGGTCATCATTTTATTATCCGTCATCTAAAAAAAGACTCTTTTTTGATAAATCCTGGAGTCAAAATGAGTCTTGTCTCCTGTGAGGAAAGTTTTCTTCAGAGTCTTACAGCAGAATCTGAATTGACTGAACTGCCTAGAAAAAGTCTGTAATTTACAAACCTCATCCGCCCCTGCATGTCTGCCTGTGTGTGTACATGCAGCGCCCCGTTTAATTAGAGCCTCTGAACGTTGGACTGTATGAGAGAGGGCAGAGAGTTGGAGGCTTTTTATCCAAAGATCTACCTCTTTATTTCTCACAACTCTGTTGCTCCTCTTTGTTTCAGTCTGAGAGGTTTTATCTGTGCTCCTCCTTTAGTTACTGTCTGTCTTTTTGTTGTTTCATTGTTGAACCAAACGAAGCTAAAGAACCCAGTGAGAGACAGACAGGCTATCTAAGTGGGCTCTGTCTCTCTTTATTACCTCCCCCTCACCAAAAGGCAGGTGCTGATGATTGTCTGGTAGCAACATATCATGAACTGTGGGATGTATTTTAATGAAACTCCTGTGCTCCAGCATCAACGTGTGGCATGGAGGCTGCACAGCTGAAGAAAGAAAAGCTTTGCAGAGAGTGGTGAAGGCTGCACAGAAGACTGTCGGAGTCAGCCTCCCCACCATCACAGACATCTACACCTCCAGATGCAGGAAGAGAGCCACCTGCATCATGAAGGACCTCACTCACCCAGCACACACACTTCTTGCTCCGCTCCCCTCAGGAAGGATGTTAAGAAGCATTAAGTGTAGAACCACTAGACTGAGGAACAGCTTCTACCCTGAGGCTGTTAGACTCATGAATCTCTAACCAGAATAATCACTGTGAAAAATCACATCATGTTGCTGCTGATCTGTTTCATGTTGCTGCTGATCTGTTTCATGTTGCTG